CATCGCACAAAATCCGAAGAACTACACAGAGAGAAACGATATCAGAATGAATTGAGAGAGAGAGAGAGAGAGAGAGAGAGAGAGAGAGAGAGAGAGAGAGAGAGAGAGAATGCGTACGATTATTCGTTCGCTGCCTTCCTAAGGACAGTGTAAAACTGTCGGAATCGACAGTTGAAATAATCGGCTCTAAATGCCGATAGTTTACAATTGTCCTAGTACACGCGACAAGATTCTGAAAGATATCTATAGAAGCTCTAAGATCTTTTGCGAGTTCTTAGGGAATTCTCTTTTAACATGTTGTCTTCATTAACACGTACGCGATCAAAAATATAAGAAAATTCTTACCGCTGCGACACCAAAGGCTTCTGAGTGGCGCGCATAATCAGCTGCGAGAGAAGCAGCCAACAGATAGAAAACAGTCCACACGGTGCAGAATATGAATTCCTATAAAAAGAAGCATACATATAGAAATCATCACGTACAAATAATCAGCAGTTTTAATTCACAACCTTATCTTTCTTCTTGATCGAACGACTCGCGTACGCGACCAAGATCGTAAAAATGACCTCAGAGACGTGACTAAATCATAAGATGTAACGGCACATATACCAAAAGAAAATATGCAATTGATTTTCTGTTATCCGGAGATCAAACGAAAGCTTGATACAGAACAGAAAGGTTCCTGTAGGAGGTTTCCTGTGCACTTGACAATTGTTGAGTAAATTGTTTTCAATCATTTCAACCGAACTTTAAAGCAGCCGAATGTTCAGACGAACATTTTCGATCAGAACGATAACAGAGATATCGCTTCTTGTTCCCCAGTTTTTATCTGGTCTCTATGCACTCTATGTACTGAGATTTTCCGTGTACATACATTAAACACTCGAGATTGGACGTTGAGAAGCATTAAGCGACATTACGAGAACCGGCGCGTAATGCCTCTCTATCTCGTAATGTTACGTTTTAAAAAAGGCTAACCTGATTACGAGCGATCATCGGCCCGCCGCCGCCGACGACCGCCCTCATTACGTCGCCCGCGATCGATCGTTCACCTGTGAATATAAAAGTCGGTGCGGCAGGTCGATTTTTAGATTCCTACGTCACGCATGGCGACTTTCTAACCGACTTTCACCCACTTGCTCCCATATCATATACGGACATTATGTATATATTTGTTTTCCCGGTGTTATCGAATACGAATAGCACTATAACGTATACTCGCTTCTATTTTAAACGCACTTCTACAAAATGAGAAAAGAAATCTCGCAACCAACATGCAAATCGATCGAGCGTCACGACTTACAATCTTGAGCCATGGAATTTTTGAGAACTTCTCAATGATATGGAAGAGGTATAGCACGAGCAATATCCCGGTAAACCAAAAACCACCCATGGCCACAGTATTGAACCATCCTCCCCGGCTGTGACTGCTCAGGGTCGAGACTGTTATGCATATAAATCCCAAGAGATTCAGCACCTGAAAGAAGACATATCCGACGCGATTATCATTCATGAAACTATTGCGCAGTCGAGCGAGCACGCAGTGTGCGCAAATACAAAGCTCTACTCGGCTTTCGCGCGAGCGGCGTGAGATTTAAGACACCATTATAGTATGATGATGCAACTGGGCGTTTACAACGGCGCATCGTAATCCTGGTTCGCGGCAGGTGTGCGTTTTATGCGATAATATTCTGTGTGCATCTTAATTAACATGTCATGCCTATTTTCTCTTATGATGTATTTTCTCCTAAAGATTTCTGTTAGAAGGATGTATCCTTTCCACAAGTACTGGTACAAATGCGACTGTCACTCACCACTTGTATGATTTTTAGGAGGCCGGGTAATGTTTTCACATAGGTCGGATCGAACCGCACATTTGGCTGCACGGTCATAGTGTTGGTAGTCACCGTCGTCGTGGTAGTATGCTGTCCCGGGAAACCTTGCTCCATCATGGTTGATTACTCTGAAATGAAGAGGTAATTATTCGAGAATCACAAGCCTCGACAGGGTCGAACGTTGAGGAGTGTACCAACGTGCAAACGCGTTCATGGGTGAAATTTCGTGACACGCGTGATTTCATTCGCAAAATCGAATAACTGAACCACATGATTAGCCGCGCCGGTATATAACTGACACATACGTGATACATTTCTTACATGTTATTGCAAAGAAACACAGTCACTGAGCCGGGAAAGGAGCATACGCGAACGCGATTAATCCACGCGACTGTCGTCGCCGTCTGGTCAAGCGCGTGACTACAACGATATTCCTCGCAAGGGCGCGTCTAAAGCGAAATGGGACGGTCGACCAAGCATCGACTGAGCCACACGACTCGAGGGATGAGGAAGATAGACCTTAAAATAAAGATCCATCAGTGGTACGTGTCACGCGCCGTAAACGCGCGCACTCCGCAGGATCTATAAAGACTGGAGTGCACTTCTGAGTGCATACGTACGTACTCGCTGCTCCCTGCTTTCGGCTTGAATCTTTCAACATGTGTGCGTTTATATATATATACATATATATATATATATATATATATATATATATATATATATATATTTTTTTTTTTTTTTTTTTTT